TAATAATAATAATAATAATAATATTTGAATAATTATTTATTTAAAATAATATTTACTATCACTCTTACTTTTGTGTTTTAAATCGGTACAATTATAACAATATAATATATTTATTTTAAATTTTATTTATATTAATTAATGTTGATTTTTTTAATTGATAATAATGTAATAAATTAATAAATTTATTTTAAAAATAAATTTGTATCATTGTTTAATTTATAAGTTGATAATATTATATTTATTAATTTATATTTATTTTGAAATATTTAAATTTTACAACAATAAATAAATTTAATTATATTGACCTGATTAATCCAATCCAACTCTTTACGATTGAGTTAGGTTGGATTGAAATTTAAAAAAAAAATATACAAACCTATCCTAACCCAACTGGTTAAATTTTAATTAGATCGAATGATAGATTGATGCAAATCTAGCTCAATCTAACCCGCCACGAGTAAAAATCATAAACTTGAATAACCAAGAAAAATATTACCAGAGCGTGTAATGAGAGATAACTAAGAAAGTAGGATATGCACATTGGACAGGGTACTGAGGTGCCAGACACAAATCCTTTTTAATTAAAAGAAAAAACCCTTAACTCAACTTAGTTAAACTAAAGCCATGAATCTAGACATAACATGTCACCCAAAAAAAAAAACAAACTAAGGGGTAACCGGGTCTGTTCCACTCTTTGCCTTTGGTGCTATATCCCATTAATAGCAGGAAAAGTAAAACAGACTAATTAGATTCACCATAATCCTTTTCACAGTAGGATTGTTAACATAAAAAATAAAACTTATACAAGAAAAGCAAAGTATTGAAAGAGCACGCAAAGAAAGACCACTTATAGAAATGTACCTTAATTACTAGTAGTAATTAGTAATAGTAATATCATCATTACAACCGCTATTATTGACCGGGAAGCTCACTGAAAGAAGAGAATAAATAAATGCAGTAACCTCCAATTTTTTTTTGTATAAAATGCCGTAGTGGCAGTAATAAACCCCAAAAAAAGTGACTTGTGCAGAGACGGGATATAAAAAGGGGTAACTAATGTGACATTTATCTTCTAGAAACTATCCTGAGATAAAATTGTAACCACTATTGTTGACTCCAATTGTTATATACACTATTCTATAATTTCTATTATGATCCTTCCTTGCTCTACAATTTATCAGCAATTCTCCCTAGAGCATCTGCAAGCTTATCAAGTACAGCAACTATGTTACTAGCGGTGTCTTTCTGCTGCTGGCGATCCAATTGGGAATTCATGTTCTGAGCTTCAAGTTGATCACGTAGCATTTTTCCATTCTTTTCCAAGACGTCGATTAATTGACTTTGGAAACTTTCTTCCTCTCCATCGGTTGGAAGCCGCTTCCTCTTCCGTGCTGCCCCTTGAGATGTAGAACCCATTTCTGGATTTGGGGTTGGCCGTTTCTCATTGGTAGTACCTACAGAATTAAGGAATGTCAAGACATTGAATTTACAATAATTTCATCAGTTAAGGCCTTGACACTGTGATTGCCAAAACAGAACCTTTGATCCTATTCCTATACCCATTATAGGAAGCTACAGCCTAGCTAATGCTCAAAAGTTTAGGTAATCGGATAATGAAAGCTTGTGCCTAAGACATAGCTTGCCGTTTACTATTAGAGAATAACTTTTTTTTTGAGACATGAATTGTGAAAGATAGTTGTTTATACTATTAGGGTAGGCATAGGATGTGGATCTTAAAAGAAAAAGTGACAATGAGGAGACCTAAAGTGCAACACAATGACTTTCCCAGAAATGTGCAAACGTTAAGTATGTGTAACCAGCATTACTCAGGCAAATAAATATACAAGAAAACATCATTCAATTCAATGCATGTAACTCCAATCAAATGCATTTTGTAGAAATACATGATTTATACCAGAGCACCCAATATAATCTCAAGTAAGCAATCATACATTGAATGATCCAATCCTATCAATTCCGGATCTCAAAAGAAAACAGGTTGTTTACTGCAAGCCTATTACCATTTTCATTTTCATATAAACCATCATTTTGTTTGTGTACTAGAGTGGACAAATTTGATCTACAACAAATTTGATGTAGATTCTAGCAAGAGCACCATGGTACAAGAAGTATGGATAATAAAGGAATGAAAAAAAAGTGTCATGGCATTATTGAAATTCCAAATGTAATAGCATAAATTTATGGCAGAAATGAGTAACCTATTAACTTTACTCACATCACAGGCACTTAAGTAGAATGCAACAGCAACAGAAACAAGGGGAACAAACATATTGGACAAGGTAGCAAGCTGTCACAACTGAGGTTTTAGCTTGCTTTCTATAAGCACTGAATTCATGATATTTTGAAGACAAGGAAAGGACACTGAAGTAGCTTCCACATTTTTGTTTGCTTATCTTGTCAATGACATTGGATGCCCTTTAACAAACATAGGCACTAGGTTGGGCCTACTACATCATGTTGGTCATATCAGATGACCATGGGCCTAACCTTTTATGCCAAAATATCAAAGCTGTCTCCAGAACACAAGAAACCATTCAGAAACAAATATAAGCTTTCAACTTTCAATTATGCTTGATGCCAATGCTAATGTTATTGCTAATAAGATCATTCCAGTCTTAAAACTAAACACAAGATCATCATTGCCTTAACAACTCTATTACCTTGATCATTGCCTTCCCCTTCGCAGCCTTCGAGGAGTGGTTCATATTGCTTCTCTGCAGATCAGAAGAAAAAGAAAAATCAAGAAAAAAATATAGAATTGAAGAATGCCACATGGGAATCCCGGTACCATTCCCTCCAAAACTTCCAACTTTACAACAAACAACATCATTGCTAGAATCAAAAAAATAAAATTAAGAAAATAAAACCATTAAAAATTAGTCTTTCATAAAAAGAAAAGTGCCTCCAAAGCCATGAAAGCCAGTAACATACCTAGACACTTTCCAACTTCCCGAGAGACAACACAACAACATTAGAATATTAGTATATACCAAAAAAACACCAGACAATACCAACACCAACAATAATATCAACCAAACCTTTCTCCGCTAAGCTGAATCCGTTACATAAATTAAATAATAATGCCATCATATCTAACTTCCAACTCTAAATCCTTCTCAATAATTTCAACTTTTTCCCAGTTTCCTTTATCCTCCTCTTGTACTCTTCTTCCTGGAATATCGGCAGATTGCCTCTTCAAATTATCTTTTTTTCCAACTGAAAACCAAAGATTTATCCCTAGGAGACTGACTTCTGTCCGACAGATTTTATTCCATTTATCCGACTAATATCACACACTCAGCTTCTCTTCATCTAATTTCCATTCAATTTTCCTTCTTATCTCTCTTTTATTTCTGGTTATGTAATTCATCACATCTATATCACGTCTAATACATGGATCTAAAAATGAATCACGTCCAAGATGCAAAAGCTACATCAGGTAGCTTCGGTTTAGACGTGGAAAATCATGTCCAGAAAGGGTGACCAAACACCCTTTATGTCACTCTTCCTTTATTTTCTCTCTCCCATGCAACTCATGTTTGAACATTTTCTTTTATTCTACCAGACATACCCTAATCACAAGACGAATTTGTACCATCAATCTGACCATAATTTTTTCTGTAATGCATCATAATCATGACAAATAAACTATCAAAAATTGAATCTTGGAAACAAACCTGAGATTGGAACAGGAGCAGGAACATCCTTAGCAGAGGCTAAAAGCAAAACCTCATCCTTCTCGCAATCAGAGAACAAACCATCCTCACTCCCAACCCTCCGATTACTGTCATACAAGTGCACCTCCTCACCAACCGCCGCCGCAGAAGTCGCCACCGGAGTCTCCGCCGCAGCCGCAGCCGCCGTGGACGGCGAATCGAGAATATTATACACCTCCCGGTCAAAATACCCCGGCAACTTCCTCTCCCTCCTCAAATCGTTCCTCATGAGCCAAAACGACTCCGTTTCGTCCCTCACCTGCGACTCCCACTCCTTGATCTTCTTGTAATCGCCGGCGAGGTTGCTCCACCGCTTCCGGCACTGCACTGGTTCACGGTTCACGCCGTGCTTTTTGCAGTACGCCGACACCAGCGCCCACTTCGGCTCGCTCGACCCGAACG